GGCTTTTGTTTAGCCTGAACTCTCTGTGTATATAGCGGGTTTTAAACGTGTCTTCAGAAAAGAACAAAAGTCTGCAGCTGGCGTCAGTGCCAGTTCTTCCTTTGTGATTTTACATAGAAATGCTACGAACAGTTGGTTACAGGATAGATCAGGAAACCGAGTAAGGTTATGGACTTTGATTGTTAAGCAGTCTTTTTATCATAAGTCATAGAGCAGAGTGAGTACACTGCATTAGGTCATACTGACATTGGTTCTACATTTATGTAAACACACAGCTGGCATCATAACCAGTGAATTTATAATGGACCTTTAGCTTTTGTTGTATGTTCTCCAGGTATCCACAGCACCATCTTACTACAAGTATCTGGCAGTGTTAATTAAAAACAAAAAGTATGTAAAGGCCATGTGTTACCTTTAATAAGTATTTGTGACAGTATAGCTTTTGGTTAGTCATGAACTAAATAAAATTAATCACTCTCAGACTTAAGAGGGATGTTCTTAATCAAGCAACTACTACAATGTTTGTGTCCATATACACATATGTATGCATATGTGTATATGGAAGGGTTTTTTTTTTAGAGTACTTATGTTATTCTAGCTTGAGCCAGCTTTAAAAATAAACTTAGAATTTCATGCTACTTGGAATTTTGTAGGACCACATTGGCTATGTTCTAGACAGCAAAGCCATTATTTCTTATGTAACTTGGCTTGTACCTTGTCACAAATGATGACTCCAAAGAAGAGAAGGTCATACATAATATGATATCTAACGTTAATCATTTTCTGCTGAATCATATGTGGCAATAATAACTGGGTTTCTCATTGGAAAATAAGTTCTAATTATGAAAGTAACCTGTGCATTTATTACTAATAAACTAGAACATTGCCTTTTATCTCCTTGACAAGCTTGCTTAGTCCTAAAAGAACATGATACACATTGTTCTTTAGAATAGTCTCCTCTTATTAACTCTAAGTTCATCATTTGCTAAGTAGTGGTTCTTTCCAACTCATAGATGCCCAGGATGGACCTGTCGAACCCGTGCCCAAACCTTTTCTAACTGTAGAATTTGGTAGTGTATATCCCAGAGTCACATTGTATCAGTTGCCTATATTTGGCTAGATTGAATCGTGTCTACAAATATAGCCTCTGCCTTCTGTATGATATGAGCTAGACTCTGGCTCCAAATGCCATAGCTGCCTCCAGAGACACATCGCATTTCTGGTGATGTGTCCCTTAGGATTGCTGATCAGGTACTGTTTTTTATATTTTTATCATAGTCAATAACAAAAGCAAAAGGATTGAATTTTTAGTCATCAGATAGGTTCACTTGCCTGAAATCCTAATGCCATCCTTTTTCCTTCAGAACTTAATTATACCAAAACATGTTCATAGATAGCTGAGTTATCAAAAAACCAACCCAACAAAATCATAGGCTACATCTATATTCACATAGCTCAATTATTTTTATTCTTTATTTATTTGTGACTGTTTGTTTTAAGTTCAGTAGAATGAACATGTGACGTCTAAACAGAAAACTTAGAAAGATTTAAATAAAAGTTTTAGTCCCAATGGACATTTATTATATAGTTAAAAAAGGTAAGAGAAGTATCCAGTAGCTGAAATGATTACATAAGACTGACTATCACTGTGTGGCCAGAAGTAAGATTTGGTGAGCTAATTTAAAAAGACGTTTCCATTTTGGGAAAAGTGTCTTTAAAAAAATGTGACCCTGAAAATATTTGATAAATCTCTTCAGAAAGCTTGTATCCTTAATAAAAACCAAGAATAAATGTTTCTAACAGGTTAGCTAATAATTACTATACTTAAAAGTAAACAAAATATCTTTTAGTAGTCCCATAAAAACATATAATAATATTATTTGATACTAAAAGCTCTCAAGCTTTAGGAAAGACATAAACGAACCATAAGTCCCCAGTAAGTGAAAGAAGCCAGTCTGATAAAGCTTGGTTCTATGATCTCAGCCATATAGTATTCTAGAAAAGTAAAAGCTATAAAATTAGCATAAATACCCAAAATTTGGGTAAAAGGACAGAATGAATAGGTAGAGTACAAAGAAATCTTAGGCTAATACTCTGCGATTCTGTATCAATGGGTGATTGTGGATACATCTTATATATTTATTTGAACACTAAGAATGAAAGTAATAGTACTTGTGAGGTACCTAGACAGATGGACACAATAACCAGTCCTTCCCTGGGAACAGGCAATGAGACCCACTGTGGATCTGTGGGAAGGAATAGTTAGGACCTTAACCATGGAATAGGAAAGGGAAGTTAATAACCAATATTGACAGTCACAGAGCAAAGAAGACAGAAGGCACAGAAGGGCAGTGGGAATAGCTTGTAGCAGATTCAGTTTCTACATAGAATGAAGGGTGTTTTGGGAGGATTTCCGGAAATTGAAAGATATTATTATCTGTAATTATGAATGACTTTTTAGATTCATTAGTTATAGAAAGAATTTACAAATTTGGGCAAAAACATTATGAAACTTAAAAAAGAAAAAATCTCTTAATATCACTGCTGATATTTTAAAACTGGGAGAAAGAATTCTTGATTGTTTTGGGATGATATCACACAGGTATTATATTGACTTCATGATCAAAGCTAGTGCTTGCCTAACCATAAGCCTATCACGAGGCCAAGCTAAAGCTGTGAGGGAGAGGGTCACTCTCAGTGTTCCAGCTAGAAACACTGCCACTGGCTTCCAGGGTCGTGTTGTATCTTAGGTGCAGGGTAGAGCTGCTATATTCAGAAAACTAAGGAGCAGACCATCTGTGAAAGGTCGCTCACCTTAAAGTGGGGCACACACCTGAGCAGAGCCAAATTTTTGTGTCTGTGAAGTTGGAATATTTCTCTGTCCTCACAAAGTACCCAAAAGCTGTGTTTCTAGTGAGTCTGAACTTTGTTCAACTGGGCCAGCCAGTGTGGTTATCTGTCACTTGGATTCCCTTTGTTGTTTGTAGCCTTTCTTAGCCCAAAATAAGAGACACTTTGGCTCATGTGATACAGCCCCAGTTTCAACTACAGTGCTAACACCAAAGAAAATCAGGCAAATCCATAGAACTACAGAGACAGCTTTTCTCAACCTTTTATTTTACTAGAGTCAGCTCTTCTCAGACCTTAATTTTAACCAATATAAGTGTTATTTATGTATTGACTTCTTAATTCATCTTTAAAAATGTTTGATGATGAAAGAAAATGGTTTTGATAGCTCCTGTTAACTCATTTGCTTAGAGGGTTGCATAGCAACAAAATCTAGACATACATTTCATTAGTAAAATCAGGTGAGGATCGCTCCCTGCAGGATATATATATTTACAGGAAGAGAATCCAAACTGTAGTTTAAAGCAGTTCCAATGGCATTTACCAGAGTTGGCTACTTGACCTGTATATCAGCATAAGCCAATATTTAGGCAGAAACTGAAATATCAAAATCAGTTTTCGTTTTTCCCTCTCTCCATTCTTCCATTCATTCCATAAATAGCAGTAAGCTGAAATCTTAAGTAGGGCAGTTAATTTAACCTCAGAAAGCCCCTTTATTTGATTTTAAATCAGTGGCAAAGTTTAGTCAGTTGTAGTTTTCTCATGTGGGACCCCAGGTTTGGGGCATGGATTCATTGCAGGTTCTGGCAGTAAAGGACAGCCCTCTCTTCTCACGACATGAGGTGTTCGTAAAGAAGTTCCTTTCAAAGTCACAAGGTTTTAACAGCAAAGTTCCCTCCCAAAGAACTGTCTGGTAGTGCTCAATGTAGGCTTGATGGGAGCACATTAGCTCTGGCTCTTAGTCTCTGTGAACTGGGCAGTCTTGCTGGCATTCAGAGAAGACCTGCTCCAGCCTGAAGGCTTGGCAGACACTCTGCTTCCTCTTTACTTCTCCATTGCCCATGAGACTCACAACTCTGTATGACCAAAATAATTCAGTGCTGGCTCCTAAAGGAATCTCTGTGCTTCAGAGTCAGATAGATAGTATTCTGCTACTCCTGACTGTAGCAGAGAATTGGCACCCCAGCTTTTCTGCCCGTTGTTTAGATGAGCAGCAGAACTTGATGAGGGCTCTCCACCGTTTTTCTGAAGTTTGGTAAAGATGAACATGTGGTATTTGAAGGTTTAAAAATGGTGCCTCAGTGATATTTATTTTATAACTTAGAGTGTACACAATGCGTATTCAATAAAGATTTGTGATCTAGTTAGCTCACTTTTCATGGAGAGGCTCTTCAAAAAAAAACCCCAGAAATATAATTTCTTAAAGGCAGAGAAATCCCATTGCCTTCCCTTGCCAATTTGTAAGACAGTTCATTCGACAATTTCAGTGCTTTCACAAGTTCTTTTTTGGGAGTAGTTCTTAAATAGTGGTTTTAGCTTCAAAATTTATGAGCCATTTCAAACTTGGAAGTCAAATGACTGTGCACTTATTGAGTGCTTAGTGTGCTTGTGGTCTGTGTCAGGGCTTTGAGCTCTTTCTAAAATGTAAAAGCCAGACAAACTCTCCTCTCTACCTTCAGTGTGTACCGCCCAAAACCCAATTTCAAACCTGCCAGCATGCCTTTACCTGCGGAAGTCTGGCTTTTTATAAGAAAATACTGTGATTAATTGCATCCTTTAAAAAAGCAACAACCATCACAGATGAAAATATTTCATATTTATGGGACAAAGATGTGAAGATTGTTGTTATAGGTTGTCAGAACACAGCAGTATAATGAAAAGTACATTGGGTGGTGACTTGGAAATGAGAATGACTTAATAGTTATATAGTTAATATGTTATGAGTAGTTAAATATGAGGGGGGACTTTATCACCTTCAGACTTTCCCCTTTGGTGCATCAATGCTTAATGCATCCTCAGAACAACAAACCTGTGTCCCAAAATGAAGATTTGTAAATACTTTGCATATTAGAAGCCATCAACTCAGCTCTGTTATTGAATAAGCTTAAACCATCTATGAAAAAAAATCAGTAACGGCCTTCTTTTACCTTCAGGTCGTCTAAACTATTCATATCCAGGATCCGATAGTTCTCTGCTTATTAATGGTAAGTGATAATTGATTTACCCTAGTGAAGTGCACAAAACTGAAGTTAGTATTAGGTGAGAAAACATAGTATTTGTGCTTCAACAAGTACAGAAGTGACACTTATTTGTTCCACAGTGATAGTTGTAGATTGCTATTAGTCACCTATTTTAATAGTAATTCTTGTCCCTCAAAATTGTGACAGATATTTTCTCTAAAAAAATACTGAGAACCACTTGATTCTCCATTCTGAAATAATGGAGTGAATGTGAATTCCATAATGACACAGAACAGCTTCATCAAGTGCTAGTTAGCTTCTGTAGATCAGACGCCAGGAGAAGAGAGGAGAACCAGAGAATTAGCACCAGAAAGAGGCAGCTCAAGACCACAGTGCTTTACATTCCAAAGAGAAGGTCATTTGTTATTTACCATCAAGAAGAGCATGAAGAGTGAAGATGGATTGGCCTTTACAGTTCCTTTCATAGAGGCTCCTTACCTGGCCCAAACACTACTCAGGTGCCCACAAATCCTCCATTTATGTATACATGCTGGAAGTGAGTCACAGGTCACAGGGAAGGCAAAGGCATCTACTCACAGAATTAAAGAACTTTAAAGTGCATATCTGTTTTTGGTATCACAATTCTAAAAAAAATAGGTGAAATACAGAAATCTTTTTTTTCTTTTTATTTGCTAGTGTGTATGCGTGTGAGTATGTGTATGATTTATTTTTATCTTATGTATATGTGTCTGTATGAGTAAGTCACATGTGTACCAGTTCCTGTGGAGGCCAGAAGTTACAGGCCGTGTCGGTACTGGAAACAGAACTTGGATCCTCTGGAGGAGTAGGAACAGCCCTTAATCACTGAGCCATCTCTCCGGTTACTGATATTTTTTCCATATTTCTGTTAATTTCAAATCTCTTAAGATCTTCTATCCTCCAAGAATTATTCTTGCTGCATTCTCATCATTCCTTAAACAAACAGAAACACAAACAAAACCATCTTGTCTGTGGCAAGTAGTAATGGAGGAATTGAAAATATGCTCATAATATCATATGGTAGCACAAAGGTATCAAGCTAACACCTACCACCTAATGGTGATGGCATAAGGTTGGGGAGGACATCTCTTCCATGGAGCAAGGTTTACTTTTTCCTGTTAACTAGATCCAGGCTCAAGTCCAGATACTGGAAATTACAGTGACCTAAGATTTGAGATAAGGCAAAGTGGTTGACTTTATATTAATTTCCTCATGAAATTGTTCAGTTGGATCACTTGCCTGTGAGACTCATCTTGGAAAAACTCTCTGGTAACTTTCTCTTAAAGATGAACACATTTAAATTTTAAGATTTTTTTGTTTTGCCTTTCCTTTTATCTCTATTAATATTTATTTTTATAAGTTGTGTTTTTCAATGACTATTTCTTGGCAAAGGAAAAATAATAAAGATGACCTTTCTTCCCAAGTATTTATGTTTTGAAATTTTAATGGTCCATAAACTATAGAAGGAGGCCAGATGCTTCATTTCCACTGCTGCATATATAGAAGTTTTATTTATTATGAAAATATACTGACTGGGTTAATATCACCTCAAACTGAAAGATGTGATGATGAAGAAAAATAAAAAGATATTAGAAAGGAGAAACTCTGGCTCCTTAAGGTAGACCCAAGAATGTAAAGTTGTGATTGCCTTGGTCTCAGGTTTAACATCCATCTTTACAGGGCCCAAACTAGGTTTTGTCAAATGTGACCTAGTGTTAGTTTTTAGTAGGAAACCAGTAGGACCAGATGCTGATGTATTCGTTTGTACTGAAGAATGAAACTGTGGGCAGAGCTGATGCCAGAACTGACTCAGTCATTCTCCAGTATTAAAGTCAAATATACTAGAAGATTGTTTAAGTGAGGGCAGGAGAGATGGTTCAGTGGTTAAGAGCACATACTGCTCTTGCAGATGACCCAAGGCTCCGAACCACTTTTCTCAATCTCCAGGAAGATCTGACACCTCTGGAATCCTCAGGCACCCGCACTCATGTGCACAGACTGATACACATAATTAAAATGTAAAGGAAAATAATTTTAAAAGATTACTTAAAAGTCATGAAATCAGAGTTGGTTAGGAAAGGAGGACAGTCTTAGGTGTGGGTATTGCCTATTTCTTCAGTCATTTTTATAAAACATCCTTGCAAATGGACCGCTTTTATAATAAATGGATCTTATTCCTCTGGTTCTTAGTAGCTTTGCTATTAGGTTATGTCAGGTTTCGGGTGTATTTATCTTGGGAGGCTAATATACAGTAGTAAGTGTGCTTAATGAAGACAAGCTCAAGAATTATAGAAGCCTCCCTTTTTACAGGGTTGAGGATTAAATACAGCTAAATCACTTATCAAACCAAGCACGTAGTGAGTCTAACCAAAGCCATTCATATTTTTTTTTTGCTTAAGAATGTGCACACTAAGGATTTACAAAAAGGAGTGACAACAAGGCATTACTAAGATGAAACTGTAAAAGTTGTCTGGGTGAACAAGTTTTTGTTTGTTTGTTTGTTTGTTTGTTTTGTTATTGAGATAAGTAACCCAAACTTCCACTTCTAAATGTAATTCCCTCAACTTTTTGCTGTTTTAAAAAATGGATAATAAAAGCTTGATATTTTGGTGATAAAGTGCTAATTATAGGGTTTTCTTTTTCTTTTTCCTGGGAAAAAGTCTTGGGCTTAAATCCATTTAGTGTATTAATTTGCTGAGGGATCAGTAACAAGCACGCAGACTATGACTTAAATAACAATTTTTCCTCACAGTTGTGGAGGCTAGTCATTTTGTGGGAGCTAGGAGTCATTTTGTGGGAGCTAGGAGTCACTTTGTGGGGCTAGAAGTCACTTTGTGGGAACTAGAAGTCACTTTGTGGAGCTAGAAGTCGCTTTGTGGGGCTAGAAGTCTCTTTGTGGAGCTAGGAGTCATTTTGTGGGGCTAGAAGTCACTTTATGGGGGCTAGAAGTTTTAAGATGAAAGCATGCCCAGGAGTGATTTCTTGTTGGTGTAAAGATGGCTTCTCCTTACATAGTCTGCCCTCTTTACACATCTGCATCCTAACTTCTCAGGACAAAGGTCATGTGGGATTAGGACCCACCAAAGGTCCTCATTTAATTTTATCTTTCAAAAGACTATCTCTAAAAGCCGTCATATTCTGAAGTCCTTAAAGGTAAGACTTGAGCATATAAATTTTGGGTGCGGAGAAAAAAAATCAACCCATAACAAATATCTTTTACTAATAAATTTTATGTAATAAACATATGTGTTTTATGACTCTGAAACATAAGCTTGAAACTTAATTTCTTGGTTAAGCAAAAATGCTAAATATGAGCCAGATTTACCTCTAAGTTTCTTCTGGTGTGACTAAGTTAGGTGTTGACTGGAAGATTAATTAATTTTATTCATCCCTATGTTGAAGCTTAATTTTATCTAAGGAAACCAACAATCACTACCACCTCCATTAAAAAGAGAAGTTTGTACTTTTGTTCTGTCATTTTTCCTTTAATTTTTATTTTTAATTCTCCATTCTCTGCTATTTTAACCATTAGAATTGTTTAAAAGATAAACTTTGGGCACAAGAAAGGTCCCAGAACAACAACAGAATGTTAGGTTTTGGAACTCATTTATGTGGTTCTTTCCCTCTGATGATGTCTGTTCATTTAGAAGCATCAAGTGTTTTCTTATTCTAGAGAAGAGGCGTTGAGACCTATCTTTTAAAAACTGTCAAAACCTTTTTGTCTCTTAATTAATTAAGTTTTAGAGTGATGGAGGGAGATTGTTTGCTTGGATGTGGACAGAAATCTGTAAAAAAGGAGAGTGTAATTTACCTAAAAAAAATATAGGCCATGATAACATTCTTTGAATGCTACTGTATCAAATTACTAATGTGACATAGGAAATGTTAATTATAATCTATATGTGTGATGTGACATAGGAAATTCTAATTATAATCTATATTTATAAATTAATTTTGATAGTGAATTTATTAGAGGTTGATTATAAAGTCACTTAAAATTGTTATTTGCACTCTTGTTGGACTATATGCCTTGATCATCTCAGATATAGGCATTCTATCAGCTTTTAGTATCTACCCTCTTTTGTTCAAAGATTAACAACTGTAAGTTTTAGGTCTTTGAATTATATCTTTTCTTTGTTACATGTTTGTGTGTGTGTGTGTGTGTGTGTGTGTACACACTGCTACACACAATACAGTAATATTTGCACATGTTAAAAAGGGTCACATAATAGGAATTTTCATTTTATGAATATATCCTGATATGGATATTTGAAATAAGGGTAAAAAAAAGATGCTTTTTAAGAAACAAATAGAAACTCACCTTTATAATGAAATACATTCAGAGAGAGAGAGAGAGAACAAATTTTGTATACCTTCTTTGCAATTCTAGCCTCCAGACTAATGGAACATTTTACTAGAGGGACTTTGACTGTGAGTATAAGGCTGATAGGAAAACCATCTGTAAGCAGTCCTGCAGAGTTGTTTTATAAATGAAGCACTTATCAACAGAACTAATAACACAGATCTAGAAGTTAGAGACATTTGTGGTCACAATGTTTCAAGCACATGTTTACTATTCTTGATTCTTTTTAGTTCTGAACATTAAATCATTGAAGACTAAGCCCAAAGTGAGCAATAAAAATAAAGGTAGGGTCAACAAATAGTATTTATTTTAACTCTAACTGAGACTGGGAGGCTATAACTTAGCAATACGGACATGTTTCTTTAAAAGGTCATAACAGTCTAGCAATACAAACATGTATCTAATACATCATAACAGTTGATACTTTAGTCACTTTGAGGAAATTCTTAACATAGTGTACTTCAGCTGACTTAACTAGAACTTTTCCAAAACATGTGTGCCTTTGTGAGTTTTCCCTCTTTGTGTTTGCAAAACATCAAATGACAAACTATATATCTCATTATATTCATAAGATTAGAAATCTGTGTGACATATTTTCCCCCAGGAAAGTCTGTGTTGCAAGTATTTCATCACAATGTTGTTCCAAATATAACTTGGAGTCGGTGGGGAAGGGGCATTAGTAAATCTTTCCATAGGATAGAGAGGCAGCATTTAGCATTTCATTACTACTTGGATTCTGGTTGTGCTGGCATGTTTGTTAAAGCTGCAGTTTGTTTACTTTTCCATGTGTCACATGTCAAAATTCACATGCACACATGCACAAGATATAAGTGAAAATAAAAAATACATTTTCATTTTTAAGTTCCAAATGTTTTCAGTACTAGTTTACACCATTTTTTCTGTTTAATTTTTAAAGTTTTATAGTTGTAAATATTATGTACCTGCAGCCTTTTTTCCTTAATATGGGAAAAGGTGTCTGATTACTTTTCAAAATTAATCCTGGAATTTAACCTTACATCCCTCTTAACCACTTAATTACGTGTAAATAAATAAAAATTGAGACCTCACATTTGAAGATTTTGGAGGTACTTTATTTTAGCTATTTTATCTATAGCTCTTGCTGTTTTTGAAGGCTTTGGGACTTTGTTAATTTTTTTATGGAAGCCACGTGAGTTTTCATTTGGCTTTGTAGCTTCTTTCAAATATCTGTTTTCTGAGAAATTGAAGTAGCATCAATCTGCTTGTTAAGATAGAACTTAGACTCCCAAGTCACTCTTTTCTCAAACTCCTTTGTCTTTGAAGTGGTTGTCTAAACAGAATGTTCTATTTATAAAAGCAGACACCCACTTTTGTGATGTCACTTGTCTTTCTAACCTCTGTCTGGTAAGTTGGAAAGTAGCTCTTTACCTGCTAACCCTGAACTCATCAGAATGAACACCTACCAGGCTTTCCTTGAAGAAAATCTTAGAGCTCTTTTAATCTATTTACTCCAGTAGTTGAGTGGGGTCCACTGCTGTGTAGTAATGGTAGAAATATATTTTTGTATGAAACCTAATTTTATTTTGCAAAATACTCAACTGTTAGTTCCAAGTTAAATTGATTTGTGTTGTGTCTAGAAAATAAATAGTGAAAGTGGTGTCGTGGCAGTTTTTAGAGTGGCATCTAGCATCTAAGAGCCTGTCCCAATGTCCTGTTTAAACAGTCCCCAGCCAAATCCTACTTGTGCTACATTCTTTGCCTGAACATAACAGCACCCTATGGCATGGCAATCTTGATACTCCTCCTGTTTTTCCTTTAAGATCTCACCTATATTCCATCCCTGCCACCCCCTTACATACAAGGTTTTCTCTGTTCCTGTTGCATGTCCTACATAACCAGCAGAACTGTGTTCCCTAAAGACTGATAATGGTGTTACATGTTTTCTCCTATATGTATATATATACATACATACCTGTAATAAAGTTTATTTATAGATGAGGTATATAAGAAATTAACAACAATAATTTAATTTTGTTGAAACTGTAATAAAAGTTATATGAATATAGTCTTTCTCAAAATATCTCAGAAATGCCTAACAGGCAGGTAGCACATGCAGCATGAAAACACTAGGCAAAAAGATGATCCACATCTTAGGCATGGTAGAGAGGGGAGGTGCCAGGTTCCATAATGCTACTCAGAACTTACAAATTGTATTTCTAGAATTTTATATTTGATATTTTCAAATTGAGATGTACCATGAAAAATACTGAAACATGGAAAATGAAAGTAGGTAAAGTGAGGTTACTACAGCCATATCATGACATTATCATGACAAATGGCTATGTGACCTGTGGCATACATGATCACTTGTTGCTAGAGGTCAAATCTTCAGGTTGTTTTATCCACTGTGCTTAGTAAGACCATGGGGTCAGGAAATGTCTAATTGAGCCAAGGCTCACCTTGAACAGGATGAGCCCCCATGCCAGTTCATCTCAGAGAGAGCATTTTCTCAGGATGCTCTTAAAGTTTATGATGTTTCTTGTGGATTCAATAATTAAACCTTTTCTCTTCTTTTGAACTGTAACTGATTTGATGACAAAGCCCGACCTTCAGTTTTGAATATTTGGGACTGGATAGAGGGTTTGAGTTAGTGGTGGATTTTTTATTTGTTTGATTGTTTAGGGATACAAAAGTTTTGACTAAAGCAAATATATAAATTGACTAAAATTTTCATTTATTATGATTATCTTCTATTTGCAAGGAATAGAAAAAATACTGTAAGGTGTATTCTGTAATGGTGAAAAGTCATGAATTCAATATTCATGTGTTTGCTAAATTATTAGCTTGGAAATCTGAGAGAAAGTATAATTAACACAGTGGTAATTGGTGTAGATCATGTTGCATACAACCTTAGCTTCATAAATATCTTGGCCCTTGGTTGATGACTACAGTCAAAGGTTTCCTTTAAAACAAGTGGCATTCAGTAAAGATTATGTTGTCTTTGAAGTTCTTTTTTAAAAGTGCATGAAACTGATCATAACCGTCCAATTCCTTGGTTTGGTTTTTGGCTTTTGGGTTTTTTTTTTTAATGCATAGACCAGGAAATGAAGAATGTGGCTTTCTTTTTCCGTTTCAGAAGCTTATAGATGAAATCTCAGTGGATTCTTTGACAATGTTTGAAAGGTTGTTTTTGTTTGTTTTTTTGTTTTTTCTTCTCATTTGACATGCAGCAAGGACTTATGGGCGAAGGAGAGGTAACATCAATGTTTTTCACTTTTGAATGTATCAGTTCTATATGGAGAGGACTCGTGCTCTCCCAATTTATAATCTCTGTGGGGAAGGAGTGAAGGGAAGTGGATGGGTTTGCCCTTTTCAGAATCTCTGTCTTGTAGTTGGAGTTGTAGACATTAAAGAGCTGGAAAAATTACCAGAATGGTAGGACTAGGATTTTAATTCTGTGTAGTAGATATTTAACTGACTTATAGTTGAAGATTTATTTTTTAACTTCTTAGAAGAATTTAAGAATTTTTTTAAAGATTTGATTCCTTAAAAGCTAGACTCGTCTAAAAAAAATTTCATTAATTGGAGAGTCATTTATACTTAAGCAACTTACATCAGCTTCTTTTACTAAGTGAACATTATGTATTTATTTAATTAAATATGATGAATTGAATAAATGAGCAGTTTTACAAATGCTCTAAAATAATAGGGAATTTTAGAGATTCATTTGCTACAAGCTCTCAACTAAATTTAATTTTCTTATCTGTAATACTTTGCTATTTTATAAGAAAATAAGACCATTAAATAACTTAGATTTAAAGTGTGATTTTTTTTTAAAAAAAAAGATCATTCAGAAAATAATCTGGAGTTGTAGAGCCATTTTGGGTCATAATTTACTAATGGCATATAGAATGAATTTGTGACAAAGACGCTGTTGTCTATGCTCAGGAATGAGAGTTACAGTTACTGTAACTTTGGGGGTTACTCTAACTTCCAAAGGGCATGCAAGAGTTCCAGTAAATAGACTCGAGATCATTTCTAGAGTAGAGTTGGCAGTTTCTCAGAGAGCATCTTTACATAGCAGCTTGGGACACTGAAGCTCTCTGTACCTCTGTGCTTTGCTTATATTAATAGACATTTCTATTTTCCTGCCAGGTAAGTATAGGAAGACTTGGCATTTGGCATTTCTACTCTTTTCTCCTTTTCTATGTGTTCCAGAGGATAGGAACTTCAGTTTTTAGAATAGTTTTCAAAACAGATGACATCCTTGGTAAGCTAATAATCACTCAGCTAATATGTCTTTAGCATGCCTCCAGATCTTAAATGCTGTAAGACTAGAAACTGAATTGTGTACCAACATTAAATGAGCTTTGATATATCCTATTAGTTAATGTAAACTAAAATGAGTTCCCACTTAAAATTGACTTGCTCATTTTAAGTACATTCTTAGGAAAGTATGCAGAGGCTATACAATTTGGTTTATTAAAGAAATTTATGTGACCAGCATTTTATAGCCAAATTTAATATTCCGTGTCCTTGTGTAGGTTGCCATAGGGCACTGCCAAGGCAGTGCAGTCTGTTGCCAACATCTTTCAAAAGAGTGCTCTCTTCAACTGTGCTTCCATTTCACGTGCTGAAGCTTCTGGATTCCTGTGGGATACTTAAGTAGCCCTCCTATTTAACCAAATACAGTCTCTGTGATTCCGTAGACTTTAAGATGATAACAATTCAAGAGCATAAGTGAACCTGTAGTGAGCAAATAAAAGCAGCAGTTTTATCATTCTTTTTTTTTTTTTTTTTTTTTTTTGGTGTGTGTAATAACCAGTGACAAGGAGCCCTTCCTATTAGCTTTCTATTCTGCTTTCTGTTTCAGGTCAGTCTTCACTGTTTCCGATGGAAGATGGTTTCCTGGATGATGGCCGTGGGGATCAACCTCTTCATAGTGGCCTGGGTTCACCTCACTGCTTTACTCACCAGAACGGGGAGAGAGTGGAACGATATTCCCGCAAAGTGTTTGTGGGTGGATTGCCTCCTGACATTGATGAAGGTATATTCAGGAAGGACTGTGTTAGAGCAGCATGGTGGCCCAGGGGGGAAGTTGTACCAGGGTTTGCTGTTATAGTCCCTGTCTTGCCTGGCTCCGATCTTAGTCTTGCTCACCTTGTTCCCTTGTCCTGTCATCCTGACATATCATAAGATTAGTTGCAGAACGAAGCGAAGCAGGACTGTGGGGATGTGCTGAAGCAATGACCAAATTCAGTGGAATGAGGGAAGACCCCAGAGATGTCCCAAGGATTCTATTGTGGACAGCATGAGCTTAATTAAGTGCCCTTATTCTGTTTTGTCCAGTTTTGTTGGGTTTTGTTTTTGTTTTCTTAGCTACCTTCCATTGTTTCAAATTTTCAAATTTTATACTAAGTATGAACTTTAAAAAATGTATTATATACCTGTACTACAAGAAAGTCCTTAAAGTGATTAATTTTTACATATTTTTTCATTCAGCAAACATTTACATGTTCTCTAAACAGCTGTACTGTTCTTGGGCTTGTTTATGGAAGTAAACAAAACAGAAGGGCCCATTTACAGAATCTACATTCTAATGGGGGAAGGTGCATGGAAAGTATGAAAGCATATGAGAAAATATCAGAGAGCAGTGTTGGAAAGCAAACAGTGTTACAGGATCTAGCATGCAAGGAGTCTTCTTAGATTGGGTGGCTAAGGAAACCCACTTTAAGGAAATAGTATTTGTGCTGAGACCTGAGTCAGTATGAAGCCATACAAGGACCTAGAGGGATTGGTTATCCAGTAATAGTGAGTTCATTTCTCAGTTTTAGTTACCCTAATAAAAACCACAGTGGCAGACCATCAGTCATACAGTCTTGGATATTTTCAGTTTCTTTTATCTTGGCTTTCTGAATGGAAGTGGAAATAGAGTAATTCATGTTCTAGAGAATAGAATTGATTTCTGTAATAGTCTGTAAGATCTAATAATATTTAATCATTTGTCACTTAGATTGAGATTGCATTTATCAAACTTCTAGAAGGTTGAAAATTATAATAAAGACACTTGTTAAGTATCTTGATAAAACTGCTGAAATTTCAATTCCATTCACACTCATTCTCTTTATTACCCTCAGAGTGCAAAGCTTGAAAAACATTGTATTCTGGAGAACTGTGCAGTAAAAAAAATTACAGAATTTCTCTATAGGACATGGGATGAGAGGCAGATCATTTGAAATTGAATAAACTTTGTACCTGAAACAGAAACAAAACCAGAACTAGTACTTGGATATAACCTGAACAGTCCAAGTACTAGTCGGGTAGCCCAGTATACTGTGACAATGCCCCTAAAGCAACAAAGTTGAAATGCTAGCTTGTAATCACGGAAATATAGTAAATAAAGATGGACCACTGAGAGGATGCCAGGAGCCCTGGAGACTGAGATCCTCCTCTCTGGCAAAAGAGCCTTGGTTGTTACATTTGGATTTGATTTTCTTAAGCTGAAGCCGAGAGGGTTCAGGCTTTGCATCACACAAGCTGAAGCTTTTCCTTTCGTAGTGAGTATTATGGTTAGTTCTGTTCTTACCATCTAGCTCACCTTGCTCAGGAAAAAGTTTCTTATGAACCATACAACTTCCAAGTCAGCCTAGCAGCATTCTTCTGCAAATTAGTCTCGTTTGAGCTAAGTTGTGCAGAAACAAGTATAGCAGAATAGACTGCACTATTGATTGGAGGAATCTCAAATCAAGGGAAGGAACAAGACTAGAAAAACCCATGAGATGTTGGAGTTGCATTGGAAATATCAATATGTATGTCAGTTTTTATAATACATAAAGAGTTATAAACATGTTTGTTTGCATGTGCATTTATTTCCTAGCTTTGTCTACTGAAGAAGACTTGGAAATAATATCCTATAGTTATGAGGATATAGGAATTTTTTGCTGCTAAAAGTAATCAAGACTGATTTATAAAAAAGCATTTCATATGTTGACATGATTTAGTGGTAAGCCAGGAAAATAAGATATGATGAAATATCTTCCTGAGCCACCAAGTATGGAAATGCTTTGTAAAATGACAGGGAAAGGTCAGAAGGTCCTATGAGCTCCCACTCAGGGAAAGGTAGGTAAGTAGGTAGGTAGGTAGGTAGGTAGGTAGGTAGGTAGGTAGGTAGATAGATAGATAGATAGATAGATAGATAGATAGATAGATAGATAGATAGATAGAGTCAAAATAGAATTAGAACTGGAATATTATAGCCTGTTGAGTGAAGTAGGTGTGTATGTAAATAACCAGAAGAGAAAGAAGAGCTCTTCAATACTATGTGATACAGATGAGCAAATGTAGAAGGAACAGTGGAAACAGGTCACCAATATTTGACAGCCATCATGGTGGTCACATATGTATCAGTGGTGCCTTCTAATAGATGGCATGACAAATGCAGCAGAATGCTGCTAGTCACACAGTATTCCTTGCAAAGTGCTAATCAAATACAGAGAGGAAAATGGCTTCTCCTTGACAGAGAATCCACATGACCAAGATCAGTTTGTTTAATTAAAAGATGAAGTGACACCAGGTGGTGGTGGTGCACGCCTTTAATCCCAGCACTCAGGAGGCAGAGGCAGGCGGATCTCTGTGAGTTTGAGGCCAGTCTGGTCTACAGAGTGAGTTCTAGGATGGCCAGGGCTGTTAAGACAGAGAAACCCTGTCTCAAAAAAAAAAAAAAAAGATGAAGTGAAGTGGTAGTATTTGTGTCTGGGATACACCGCAAGAAACTACCACCCCCCCCCCCCCCCCCCCCGGGGGGGGGGGGGGTCGCGACCCACAAGTTGAGAACCACTGATATAGACTGACTGTGGAGAGCTGAAAAAGTCTAGTGCTTCAGGGATATAACAGTTAATGCAGAATGTGCTCTAGGTGGGATTTTTTTTTATCAAAAATAAAGGAAAAGATTGTGTCCAAGCACTGAAGAGTAATTGTATCAGTATTGATTTCCTGACGGTGGAAGCTACATATAGAGGTGTAAAAGAGAGCAACTTTTGAGCTGCTTTGAGCTGATACCAATGGTAGTATTTAGGAATTATAAAGCATAATGTCAGTAAAGGATGATGGATAGATAAGTTGACTTCTATATGTATCTAACTAGAGGGAGAATGAGGAAAGGAAGAAGTTGAGGCAGATGTGCTCAGTCCTGAGTGTGATGCCATGAAGTAATACAGGAGTTCTTCGCATTGTTGTTGGAGATAGGCTTTTATTAAGGGGAGAGCAAGGAAGGGTGATACCAGGTGATGAGGAAAGGTGGGATCCAGGTAATGGACACGTGAACCCTGAAAGAAGATAACTAGCTGCTTTCTATTTTCTCTCTGTTATATTTTCTTTCTTTGTTTTTTCCTTTTCTTATGTGCTGGATAAGCACATAAAAATGTAATTGATAGTGACAATCTGAAACCCTACATCTTCAAAATGTGTGTTCTGACTGTTCAGAGGTTCACTGAGGTGTGGAGACTTGGAACTGGGCACATATTTGAATGGCCACATTCTAGTTTGGGAGGTTTTATTTGTGACTTCATTGCAATAAAGTGGTTTTATATTTAAAAACTATTAAAACTGATAGATTTAAATCAACTTTTTTCATTTCTTATTAGATGAGATCACAGCTAGTTTCCGTCGCTTTGGCCCTTTGATTGTGGATTGGCCTCATAAAGCAGAGAGTAAATCTTATTTTCCACCAAAAGGTAAGTCTTGAGACTTCAATTATTGAAGTACATTTTATACTCAGGGTGTCTAATACTGAGTGCTTTCATAAATATTACTTTCACTGCAAAAGTTTTCATTAAAATTTCTATTTTTCTAAGTGTGTTTTCAAATTTTCTACATAGTATACTTTTGATTTAATTTTAATTACACATTTGCAAGATGTTTCCAAATACTACCAAATGGAGCTATTTAGAAGACTCAGTACTCATGCCACACTTGACAACCCGAGTTCTGTCCCCCTGGACCCACATGGTGAATAAGGAAAAACAGTGCCTGCAAGTTGACCTTTGACCTTCATGCATGATCTACACACACATACGCACACCTGCACACAGGGGAGAGAGAGAGAGAGAGAGTATTTTTAAAAAGATACTACTAAAATGAGCTACTGATGTGTTCAGACTTTTATTAGGAATATTGTTTTAATTTTTCATATTTTCTATTCTTTTTCCCTTAATTTTACTTTAAGCTGTTTATCTATATGTGACAAAGACAGGAAAGCATGTAAGCCTTACTTTCTGTCCCCTGCCTCAGGCTATGCATTCCTGCTGTTTCAAGATGAAAGTTCTGTCCAGGCTCTCATTGATGCATGCATTGAAGAAGATGGAAAACTCTACCTGTGTGTATCAAGTCCAACCATCAAGGATAAACCAGTAAGTGTAGTATAAAATTGTCTTTTGTTTATGTTTCCATTCACCTGCTTTCTTACTACATTTTCTACTTAAATTTATATGTTTGAAAATAGAGTATAACAAGTTTTATTATGTATTTTATTGGTAATTTCATATGCATTTAGATCCCCTACCATACTCCTTCAGCTTTTAGAAAACATTCCTCCCCTACATCCTCCTCCTAACTACATCATCTCTTCCTCCTCCTCCCACTCCCCTCCTCATCCTCATCCCCCTCCTTCTAATAACTTACTGGGCCCAATTAGTGTTCTCTGTATATAAGTGCCAACTATGGGCCACAGGACTGAAGAAAGCTGACTGTCCCTTACCTAGCAGCCACCACCTGCCAAAAGCATTAGGGAGGGGGCCTTATGAGCATCTCCCTACCAGTGTTGGAGCTGTGACTGCTTGATCTTGTGCAGGCAACCACAGCTGCTAGGAATTGGCGAAGACTATTTTCCAGCATCCTCTCCAACCTCAGCTCCTACAGTCTTCCCATTTCCTTTTCCTCAGTGCCCCTGAGCCTTTTAGATGAGGGAGTGTGAGATAGATGTCCCATTTAAGTCTGTACTCCATAGTCACATGTTCTCTGCACTTTAGCCAGTTGAGAGTCTCTGTATTAACCACCATCCACTGCATAAAGAAACTTCTCTGATGAACAGTGGGATCTGCTTACTCTGTGTGTAGAAGGATATTCAGTTTGGTACTATGTCCCCTTAGCAAAGTAGTAGTAGGTTTTCCTCTAGAGTCAATGGCCTACCCAACCACAGTTTCTTGGCCCAGTTAATGGTATCAGACATAAACTTCTGTCTTCTGAAGTAGGTCATAGTCCAATAAAAAAAAACCAAAAACTCTTGAATACTCCCATAACATTCATGCCAGTTTTCCACCAACGGCCAATTCTGCCCGGATGGTTGTTATTGTGACTCACAGGGTTCCCATCTGGATAAGACTGTTCATGACTTTTCTTTCCCAGCAGCCTGCAAAGCACCTTCTAGGCTATAAGTGGAGAAGAGAATAAGAGCGTAGGGCAGACAAGGGGTTGGGGGAGGACTAACACTGCACATATTTGAAAGACCATATTGAAACTATTTTATACTATTTTATAAGCTTGTGTGTGTGTGTGTGTGTGTGTACATATACATAGAGGAAGACAGACAGAGAGACATTGAGGAGGGAATTAGAGTTACATTAGATGAAAGGGTATTCTACTGGTTGGCCTCCGATTCATGTGAGAATGAGTAGGTCAGCTACTAGGATTCAGTATATTGTTTGTGTGATACAGAGGAACAGTGCTCCCACCCAAAGCCATAGGTTATCGCACAAAAAGCCCAATGTCAGGTGTGGGATACACCATAGGCTATTGCCATTGCTTTTGGCTACCAACAAAAACTTGATAATAAGACCTTATGGTTGAAGACATCACACACTCACAGGACATGGATAAATCAAACTCTGGTTCATAGGGTGTACAAGACTGCACAACCAGGCCTGGCTTAGGTACATTATTCTTGATTGGGCTAATGAGCACTAAAGTGTTTATGAAAATAATACTGCTCAGTGGGTAAAAGCACTTGCTGCCTTTGCAGAGGACCTGGGTTCAGTTCCCTGCACCCAAATAAATAAAAATAAATAAACTTTAAAATATTTTTGCAAATATTAGCAATATTTTTACTTTGCAATGTAACAGATTGATTAGTATCAATAGTAAGTGTGGGTTTCCTGGAAATGTACTGAGTCTGAGTCCTATTTTATTTAAATTTAAATTATGTAGATATTGTAAGGATGGGTAAAATAGAGGTCCCAGTAAACTGAAAAATAGTTAACTTGTAGGTAATGAAGGATGTATGAGTGTGTTTGGCTCATAGTAAGTGAACTATTCATAAAACACTCTTACTCTGAAATGAAGAATAGGGAAGGCAGTTTTTAAGCCTTTTAGTTTTACAGCTTTATTGGTTTGTGATAAAATGGGTCATTGTAAAATACTCTGCAATAGTTTTGAACTTTTTTGATATGAGCATTTTGATTTACACACTTTTAGGTGCAGATTCGGCCCTGGAATCTCAGTGACAGTGACTTCGTGATGGATGGCTCACAGCCGCTTGACCCACGAAAAACAATATTTGTCGGTGGTGTTCCTCGACCATTACGAGCTGGTACAGTTAGATAAAATCCCTGTATCTTTACCATGTGAAATATAAAGATCTTTGAAATACTCCATGAGCTTTGAGTTAATGTGCAATGCCCCTAGTGGCAAGAAGAGGGCATTGAATCCCCTTGGACTGGAGTTGTGAGTTGCCATGTGGGTGCTGGGATTCAAACACCGGTCCTCTGAAAGAGCAGCCAATGCAATATGTGCTCGTAAATAACGAGATGTAAGCAAAGGTGTCAGACTTTTGTGGTGAAGGGAGTAAGAAGGGCTCCCAAAGAATCGACAAGTGAATTTTCTAATGTTCAATTTATAGTAACCAATACCTTCCTAACCAGTACAGATATGACAACAGTGCAGCCCAGAGCAGACAAATGTAGGTGCCAGACCAATCATCTTGGAGCCTGAGTTTTCTCAGAAAATTACTGCCTATTTCATAGGTTGTGAAAATTAAGATAGCACATTGTAAACCAACCAGCTTGTTGAATGAATACTCGCCCAGCAGAAAAGTTATTGCAATAATAATTTTGATTTTAATAATGACTATGATGCAAACTCAGAGGTCACATAAACTTTGTTTCCATTAAATGGTAGGTGTGAGTCAGATAAGTAAGTCTTCTTGATTGTGTCTCTGCTCCTCTCATTTTAGTGGAGCTTGCCATGATAATGGATCGGCTGTATGGAGGTGTCTGCTATGCTGGGATTGATACTGACCCTGAGCTCAAATACCCAAAAGGAGCTGGACGAGTCGCATTTTCTAATCAACAGAGTTACATAGCTGCTATCAGTGCCCGCTTTGTTCAGCTACAGCATGGAGAGATAGATAAACGGGTAAGTGTTTGGAAAGTTCCAGAAATGGGGCACCATCTATTGTGAGACCTGTGTTTGATGTAGGTATCGAATACTCTGCGACACTATACTCTGAAGTCTTCATTGGTTATTTTATTGTGCTATTCTCAGCCTAAAATAGAAAATCAACTTGGTGGGTTATGCTCAGTGTTTCAGGTCACGTATATTCTATGTCAGTGGTCGTCCTCCGGTGTACATAAAGAGAAAGCTTTATCTACAGGTGACGGCAGGATTTGCTATAGCAGTCACATGCTGTTTGCTCTTCCTTCATATTTCCCCGTCAATTTGAGTTTCCAGCTAGGGTTTATCATTAGAAATGCTTAGTGAAACCCGTGGGTCTGTGTTCAGTCCCTCTCTAGGTTCACTGCAGAGTCTGGGGCTTAAAGTCTACCTGCCCTTCCACAAGTGCTAGGGAGTTTCATCCTGGAGCCTCCAAGACTAAAATCATAACCAATCTTGTAGCTGGTGAGTTAACAACGGTTGTTCTAACGCTCAAGAGACTCAGATGATATTGGCCCACTAAATACTGGAACAGCCCCGTTCTGTAAAATCGCCTCTCACTTTTAGATTCAGGTAAACCACTCTCATTGACCAGGAATAAAGTGAGGTTTTTGGCTGTGAGGACCACAGCCACAACAGGTTTTACCGTAATTCCAGCTGTGGACACTTAAAAAAAACCACCAGCCAAGCTTGGCAACCTCTCTCAGAAGTTCATAGAGCAAAAAGCAGCCATCTTCTTTCCCACTAACCCTTGCAGTATGCTATTTTGTGGAAGATGGAAGCACTTAGATGGTTTTGTTTAAATTATATTTCTGATAATAACCAAAAAAAAAAAATCTAGATCCACTAATTAAAACAAGGGTTTCTGAGGAAAACCTGAGAGTTTCATTTCATAATGCTCTAAGCAGTTGGTTTTACTTTATGATTTCTGATAAAATTCTTCTTTTGTTCTTTGTTTGAAAGTTTATTTTAATAAGACAAGCATGTAAAACAATAGATATAAGCCTCTTCTGTTGAAATGGATGGTCTTCATTTCAGTAAGTGCATCACTGGCACATGTAGGTTGAGGCACAGGATAAAAGTGTGCTTGCACATGGTTCTGAAATGCCGACTCCTTTTTTATCTCTCCATTACAGGTGGAGGTTAAGCCATATGTCTTGGATGACCAACTGTGTGATGAATGTCAAGGAGCCCGTTGCGGGGGGAAATTTGCTCCATTTTTCTGTGCTAACGTTACCTGTCTGCAGTATTACTGTGAATATTGCTGGGCTGCTATTCACTCTCGTGCTGGCAGGGAATTCCACAAGCCCCTGGTGAAGGAAGGTGGTGACCGCCCTCGGCATATCTCATTCCGCTGGAACTGAAGGATGAATGACTCCAGAGCTCATTTGCAGGCCTCAGAAGTGCCCTCTTCTGTTCATTCTGACCCTTCCTCAGCCTCTTCACGCTGGCATGTCCTGTGTAGAGTGTGTAACTAACAGTAGTAGAATGAAAGAACAACCTACAACATAGGTATTTTGTAGACTCTCGTGTCACTACAAACAGTATGCTTAACTCCTTTTCCACATTGCCATCATGGTGCATGCAAGTTTTAATTCTCTTATTTTGCTGGAGGCCAAGAGGATCCAAACTTGCTGCAGCATTTTCTTAGAGGAGAGAAATATTAACAGAGAAATGAGACAATATTTTGGGTTTTTAATTGCTGGTAATGATATAACATATAAGAATACTTTATTGAGATAACCACCAACAGTAACACTATTGTCTATTCTGACACAGTCTCCCCCAGGGAAGTGCTCTTGCCGTTTCCTTTCTTTTCTTTTATTTCTTATCTTTTCTATCCCTTTTCATTCTTTAACAGCAATGGAGGAAGTTAACAGTTACTAACAGGAAAGAGTATGTCAGAACAAGCAAATGATGAACAAGATTGAGCAGCATAACCGGAAGGGCTTTGAGGCTAAGTGTGGTTTAATCACACCTCAAATGCATCATACATCAGAAAATAATAAAGCAGGCAGAGCTGAGTTTGTTTTCTTTGGAATAATTCTTAAAATTCCGAATGTAAGAATCAGGTGACTTTACTACTGAGGGGAGTGCATTTATTTACTTCACTGACTTCCTAGTCACACCCCAGGAAGCCTACCAAAGCTAGAAGTAATGATATCTGGTGGGAAACAGAAGAACAAATGCATAAATTTTATTTTTGTTGTTATATAGAAACTCTATATCCTAATTTACTAGGTCATCAGCTGTCGGCCTTTGCTCTCCATTTTGACATTGGAAAACAACATATCTAGACATACCTCAAGGATATCATTTTTGACTTTGTGTTACACTACACTTGTAGCCAAAACTGGAAGATGAAAATAGCATACAAATTGGCTGCCCATTGGCTTTGTTTTCCATTTGAAGTTATTTTGGAATCCTGTAATTTAGTTGTAACATAGAAAATGTAGGGGGGGAAGGTTTAAAAAAGTCAAGTAGTTGCAAAGTGTTTTTGCACTGTTGAACTAAGTAATTGTGTAAATCTGTGCAAAAGTCCGTATGTTTATCTTACTCTTCCTATAAAGTACAATAACATACACTTTCCGAACTTAGCATGGGACATAGTGTTTGAAGTGCCAACTTCATCAAGTAATGCATGCTTTATTATAAATACAACCCTAGCTTTGAAAGATGTTCTTATGTTTTGAACAGTATGCTTCAGAGGTAAATTTAAAATAGTCTCTTGAAGCCCTGGTCATGGACGTAACTTTTCGTTGAATTGACTTTCTCTTATTAAATGCCCTACCGTAGTTCAGAGGATGACTATCAGTGTGCAAAGCATTTGACAGCAGCAGCCTCAGTGTGCTCTTGCTCGCTGTGCTACCTAACAGTACCATCTTGGAGCCTTCAGAACCAAAGACTTGCCCCGCAGTGCTGTGTCACCGCCTGGCTGGTGATCCCTCTGATGTCTGTAGGAAAAGCAGCCCTTTATTTTTAACACAGGCTTTAATGAACTACACCTGTTAAGTCCCAAAGGTCAAAATGGAGGCACTTGCTGTCTAAGAGTCCAACAGAAAGAAGGAGCCGCTGTCAACGACTCCCCTGCTAACAGAACAGCAAAGCAGTCATGCGAATGAATGGAGGGTGCTCTCTTGTAGCTGGTCAGGGACGTATTTTCTTTTCTCCTGAACTACATGATTCTAATTGGAATGTTCATTTGCCTCTTTTTCTTCTTTACTGCTTGTAGGTGGCTTGGGGTGCCATTGTGCTGTTCCTACCCAGTAAACAGGCGTGATGAGTTAAGAAATAACACTGCTTGAGAACTAGCTTTGAATAATTTTCTCTTTGTACATGACCTGCTGAATTTCGGTACAGTGTTTTGTAGCTAACTTATTTTGTCATGCACATGATGTATATTTGTTATGCACTACTTTTGTATATCTTGTTTTTCCAACAGTGAACATTTTTAGGCACACTTTTCACTGACGGGATATCTCTTTATGCAATACCTCAATTTTTCATATTGCAAAGAGTAGCTTTTTGTACTTTTATTACTGAGAGATCTTCATATACTTCATTTTTTAATATAAATAATTTTAATAAATTTTATTTTCTTATATTCTGCTTTTTATACATTTCAGTGCTCTGCATACATTTTAAATTATGAATGTTGTGCACTGGCAATGCTATTTTAGAGTCTGCAGAGAAGAGAAAGCATGTTGCTTAAACATCCTTCCCCAGCACCAGCTATTGGTGTACCTATAATTTAAGAAATAGTCTATGTAAAGTCACAAATTAATGAAAAAAAATTCGCATGAAAATGACAAGATAACACTGTAGTTCCTAAAAAAAAATTAAATGCATAAGCATAGGGTAGAAATTTAAAATAACAAAATTGTCTACAGCTTCTTACTAAGTTTTTAAAATTATTCATAAAATGCAGACATTTTGGCTGAATGTTTAACCATTTTTAATCTTAATTAATTGATGTTGCGTGTTTGATTCAGAGATGTCTGCTCTTTTAAATTCTATATAATAAAACAAAATCGCCTGCCACAGGACAGGTCTGTAATGTTAGTATGCATGACTAATGTAAGAAATTGTTATTCTGCTAATATTTACTTGTGATTGTGTGACAAGCGTGTTTACAGATGATTTGGTTCCACTTCTTTACAGGGCATAAACAATGATTATCTATTACTCTGAACTTTATGATTACATGTCCTTCAGATTACATGGGATTGTAGTTGGGAGTTACCATGTAACTCAAACATAATTAACATGTAATTAGTTTACAGGTTTTAGGGTTATCACTTCAATTTACCAAGCATGTAGTTCTAGCGCACTAGCATGGCACCAGCCATGTATTTACAATGTAGTTACAGAGTAATTACATGGTTATTTTTGCAATGTAAAATAAAGTGTTTCTGATTATTTTCTATGTAAAGGAACTCCCCCCCCACCCCCGCCTCCTGGCTTTGGTATAATATATATACTTCTCCATACACAGACCTCTGCAGAATGCAAAATAAAACTTGCAGTGAATGAACTTAGCATTTTATGAGAGTGCTGTTGGAAAGACTTGATAATTCACCCCTTTTGTTTTGAAGAGTTGAATCTTCTGTTAAAAGGTGATTTAAAACTTGAATGTGATGAATTGTGGCAAGCTCACTCCAGTTATGTGCAATACTTATCTCACACTTTGGAAGATCTTTGCAGTGTAATTCTTTGTTTTTAATTGCAGACATTTAAAAATGTCATTTTCTACTGTTAAGAGTAATCCTCTTTCTTGCTGGTGTTTCTAAAGAAAAGAATCAGAAATCAATCTTTCTACTAATGTAAATTTGAGATTATTTTTAAAAATGGAATAAAAGAGGTTTTGGTCATTTGCTTTATTTTATTATCTTATTTTAAAGCTACTGTGATTGATAACATTGTAAGAATTGGGACAATATTGTATTCAACTGTTTTATTTTTTATATTTTTAAAATTTAAAGTATAATTAGTTTTTATAATTTCATCAGATTTTTGTTATATTTTTTTGGAAGTGAAACTTTTAGCAAGTGGGTGTCTAGTTTTTACTAATCCCTGATTTCCCAGTGATTGCTCATATTATCAGAAGGAAGCGTTATTTAAGTGTGTCAGTTAATTGTACTACTTGGCTGAATTTCCATATAGTTTTTACTGTGTATGGGGAGGTTGTAGTATTTATTCTAGCATTTTAAATAAGGGTAATTCATTTTTTTATTAAAGTCATTTTCACGTTAAGTTCCTATTTTTGTATGTTCTACTCTTAAGTTATATAACACAGTTCCTTTTTTAAAAGAGTTCATTTGTTGAAGTGCTAGTGAAGAATTAATGTTATTAAATAGTTTGCAAATGACTATTTATACCAGTATGCATATAATTTTTAAATATTTGTAATGTGAGATGTTGAATGAATAAAACTTTTAACTCAGATTTCTTTTACTATAGTTATTTCTTTTTAACATAAGTACGTTCCCTGGTTGGGAACATAACATTTTAAAAATACTAGGAATGTCCTGTTGGGCCCCAGCCGAACAAACCAGTATGAAAAAGTGTTTAGTCATCTGAGTGCTCAAGGCAGCATTCCTGGCTCACGTAAGCGGTTAAGAGCTGGCAGCTGTAGTGTCTTTGGTCTTGCTGTTCTAATGCTGTCCTGTGCTGTATGTGTGTCTGGGATTGGGGGGTATCAGTCTAAGTGTTCTCTCTCCCTCTCTCTTCTCTCTCGCTTCAAGATTGAACTCAGGACCTCCTGTGCTAAGCAATGCTCCACCACTGAACCTCATCTCTTGTGCTCAAAACAAGTCTCCTTTGTCTTTGAACTCTCAGTTCTTTTGGAGACTGGTGTCACAGGCTATGGCCTCTGGGGTTATAATCCCATAGCTAAGGAACTGTATGTGCTGTCTTTTATTTGGTCCATGTCTCATGTAGGATACCAAGTATTGCAATGTATCAATATTTACATTTTAAGATACATTTAAACTTTCAGTGATAAATTACAACAAAATATATCCCAAGGATGCCCGGTTTATGAAATAAGGTATCTGTGCTTTCTTCCTGCATTATGCTATTTTCAAGAGTAGGAAAGCAGGTCTTACTGGAGACAAATGGATTGAGATGTTTTATTTCTTAATTATCCTTCCCTACATAGAACTCTTTCAGCCACTGGGAATTGTGGGGAAGTGGGCCAGACGGTGGACTATGCCCAGGAGTTCTGGGTTCCAGAAGCTTCAGCGACATGGGTCCTGCTTTCTCTTAATTGGCAGTTTCCAAGACTGACCTTCATTAAAGCTCCCCTAGGAAGCTCATGCTCCTTGTCAATCACACACAGAGTTGTCTGTGTTGTCCACCCATAGGTTCCAGGGTTCCAGGCTAGCTTCGAGTCCTGTCCCATGCCTGGTCAGGCTCCTTAATCCCACTCTCAGCCCCTACTCTAGAGGACTAGAAATGAGAAGTTGTTCTTTAGCTGTTTTGATTATACTTCCATTGACATGGACCAGCACTTGCCACAATTGCCACAGACACAAACATCTCTACATAAGCCACCAGCTTTGAATCTGCCATCCTGGAAATGCTCTCTGCCTTTCTGATCATATTGCCTCCTTAAAAATTATCACTTGAGAATTTCCATCAGTGTTCCCTCTCCCAAAATAGGAATTCCGAGAGTAGGAACCACTGGATTTGAAAAACCAAGAATTGGGAATTTATCTAGCCATTTGGGTCTCTCTTATTAGAGAACATTCTGTTTTGACATGCCTAGAATCTTCTCTGGATATTTTGAAGTTCTAATCTTTCTCTAGTCCGATTGGGTGTCACCACTGGCCGTCTGGAAACATGTTAACATGTTACTGTGATTGCACATGGTGATAGAATTGGAAAAGGACAACTTGTCTCAAGGAAGTTAAAAATGAACATCAGCATGATGTTCAGGATGCAGCCAAGACAAAACATCCATGTTTTGTGTCGCACAGCCTCTGATTAGGGGTCAGTGGGAAATGTCTGGAGGCAGATGGGGCCTGCGGGTGGTGAAATGGGGAACACAGATGCTAAACTCTAAGCTTGAGCTTGCTTTAGCCTTTGCCTTCTATTTCAGGAAGCAGAGCATTGATGCCATACATTATCTGTATGATCGAGCAAATGTCACCATTTTAAAGAAATTATTTTCAGCTCCTCCCCCACACCTCTGTGACACCAAAGAAGAAAAAAGAACCAGGCACAGGCAGACCTAGAAATGATCCCTTCCCCAGACTCCACCAAAGGCAACAAGACATTGGAACTTGTTCTGAAATAAGTTACCCATAAAAGTAACCAAACAGAGGGGGAGAGGAGACCAGTCCTTTAAGTATGGAAAGTGGCACACATGATTTTAGGGAGGACCTAGCAAAGACTCGATGAAATGGAGGCACACTTCCTGTGAGAGGCTGACCTGATGCAACACCTTCAGTCATCACCTGTTGAAAGATGTGATGGCAAAGACACCCGGGTCAGCGTGAAGCTGAGGAGGAAAGTGGAGTGGTTTAATTACCAGGTATCTCTCAGCAGCCCTGACTCTGCAGTGACCAAAAGATTTGGTTCTGGGGAAGGGATCAGTCACAGCCCAGCACCTGTACTCATCAGCAAGACTCCACCCTCAGAGGGCACTGCACAGAACGTCTGGTGCCCTGTGAGAAGGCAGGCAGTGCACAGCTAGGGTACAGCAAAGCCTAGATTCCCATTCTCATCTGTCATTCCCATTGCTTCCCTGTGATCCTCAGGAGCACCACTGCCACTGAATCACTAAAAAATAAAATAGGGCAGGGCAGAGGTCGCATATGCCTGAGTAGGAGCTCTCCAGAGTCAGAGGATCTCTGTGAGTTCAAGGCCAACCTGGTCTACAGAGCAAGTTCCAGGACAGCCAATGCTACACAGAGAAACTCTATCTCAAAATAATTAATTTGCTAATTGAAAAATAAAATTGGATTCTGTTTTGATATGTGTGAAAGATTCGGGATATTTTAAGTGTCAAGTTCCTGAAATTCAGTAAAATATTTTTATTAATAAAAAAAGTAACAGCAGGCCACATGAATGAGAGTACTCTATGCCTCAGTTTTTTGGGGGGTCTTATGGGGTTTAAGCAAAGGAGTTTGGATATTAAGAGTATTTGAGGGAGGGTGAGTTTTTGATTGCTACATTAGGTCATATAAACATTTTTCTATTTTTTTATGTTCCTTCCCTCAAATACACCTAATTTTAATCATGTGCATATTCAGTTATCCATTAAGCATATATTGATGCTCAATAGGGTTTTCCCCTAAAAATTCACATAGGGAGCACAGTTTGTCTTAATTGCATGTGCCCTCAAAACTAGTTCATGCCAGATTGGCTCCCTACCTGCATATAACTGGTGTACAATTGACTGTTGCGGGAGGAAGAACATTCCACTGTTCAGGGTGGAGAGGTGTGTAGTTCAATGCCGGTCCTGGCTTGTGAACAGGTTTCTAGGTGTATTGTTTGGAGAGGGGTGTGTGTGCATAGTCCATGCAGGTGAGGGTCCAGGCTGCCAACTGGATTATTAGAAGGGTGCATGTGCAGCTCAAACAAAGCAGAGTCCCATGTGACAAAGGTATTTCCTACGCTTGGCATGAACCTCGGAGTGAGAATGATGTCTGCTAGTGTTGAGGTAGTGCTGCCAAGCCCGGGCCCTGTGCTGTAGATAGCCCCTTTCAACCTTCCTGCAACCTAAGGAGACAGGTTCTCTAATTATGTTCAGTTTAAAGTAAGCAAGGTCCAGAACGCCTAGGCAGTCTGTGAAGTAGGCTTTCAGCCAGGCACACAGATTGCAGGTCATATTTCACCTATTTCTAACCTAAGAAGGGGAAGCTTTACTAAAAGTTACTTCATCCCCATGGGAATTAAAGTCACCAGGAAGTCATGCTGAGACGATGCACACCATCTCCTGCAGCTTGGTTTGGTTTGACAAATGTACCTTTAACTATAATGAGACAGCGACTGTGTGGGAGCCAGGCTCCCCTAGACTGTCAAGAGATGGCTCAATTTACCAGCATCATATCAGTCCCAAGAAAGAATGGCCACCTAGCTAAGTGCATGGCTGGGTGCTGGTACTTAGGTAAAGAAAGAGGAGAAGGGGGTACAGGGAGGGAAGAGAGAAGATATATAAGTCACAGACATTTTTAGTTCAAAAAAAGTCTCACTGAGGAAAAAGGTTTTTTTCTGTATAACTTCATAACCAAGCATCTTACACATGTCATATTTTTGATACTCTGCAGTCTGTAATGCCACAGAAATAATTCTGAAATCCACACAGTTAGGGGAGACTTTTGTACTATGTCCTTGTGAATTTCTCAAATCAAGTTTTGTTTCTGCACTGAAATGTCAGCAGGGTCAAAATAAATTCCTTTTAGAAATGTGTATTCCTGATTTTGTATGTATTTAAAGGAAAGCTTTTGCCATTTTTAGAGTGCTAGAGCTTTGGAGCAAGCACAAGGTTTTGATTGGCACAGCAGCCTAAACAGCTGCTCTTGTACAGATGTGACACAGCACAGCCTGGAAGAAGCAACCAGGGTGTTTGAGTCTGGATTATAGCAAAACATCTTCGGAGGCAGTGGGCCACGCCCTGCACTCGATGAAGAAGTCCCTCAAAAATCCAATCATGACATTCTAAAATTGCAAAGGACACACATGGGCTTTGACTTAGTCTTATAAGGAGCCTTAGGAAGTCAGAATCAGCACCCTTCCCCAAAGGTGATAAGGGATATGAGGGAAGGGGTTCTGGGGTGAAGATCAAGGAGAAGGTGGAGAGTGGGAAGAAGAAAGTGGAACATGTATGCACATGCTTGGAATTAGGGATAGACCACCTCTGTATCCATCACAGCCTCGCCTGGTCCAGTGTGATGCAATGTCACAGAGATGCAATCACTACACATAAGGGGGAAACTGGAATCCTCCTTGGCTATCCTCATGTCCACATTGTACGTCCTTTCCTCTGAGGTCCATATGGAGAATGAAGTATCCTGATCTAAGACGTTTGAGCCTATCATTTGTGGTGATGCTACAGGCTGCGTGTCTAACCTGTTCACCTTTGCTACACCAGCAGCATTGCTGTAGCTCCTGTTATTCCTCCACTTACAGAGTCCCTGCCCCTGTGCTAAGTGAGGGCTTGGGTGAGTGGCAGAGCCACTGTTGCAGGCCAGCAGGTGGGAACCCTTAGATGCCCCCTGCCCAGGTTGGCTTTCTCCTGTGGATTCTCTGGTTCACCATCACTGTCAGTCCACCACAGTTGCCATGGTGACAAAAAGCACTGAGACTCTAGGCTGCCAAGTGTTGCTATGCTATGTTTCTCCTCCCCCCCACACACACACATTTCTCTCTCCCTCTCTCTCTTCCTCTCTCTCATTTCTCTCTCTTCCCATCATCTTGCCACATACACACCACTCTATCCAGACCCAGGAGTATTCATTTCATCACATGGGGATGCACAGGGCAGTGGAGAGTGTGAGTTGTATTGGCAAACTGTACACCAACCCCAGAAGGCCTGTGTGTTCTGAGGCTTTAGTTTTCTGAATGCTTTTGGGTAAGCCCAAAATCTCTTTGGAGGAAAATATAAGAAAGAGGTAGGAGGAGCCAGAATGCAAGTGTGTGTCCCTGGGGTGGCAGATCAATGATGCAGCCTTTAAGGAATTACAAATTCTTATTTCTTCTTTGCCCTGTGAGTACAAGATTTAGGTAAAGATGGACCTAGGCACAGTAGGATGGAAGTATTGACATGTGTTTGGAAGTTGGACAAACCTGGGCAAAACCCCAAAGCTTGGGATCACTGTGGCTATGGCTCTGGGTGGGCCTGGGTTTCTGTCCCTTACCTGCCTGCTTATGACTGACCAAGTGACATGACCATATTAGGAAGTCCCTGACAACCAGCGTTTGCATCTCTGGGTTTCAATAATGACGAACTGAAGTAGTCACACAGGCACCTGAGTCAGGAACGTCGGCAGCCCCTGCTTTCACTAGTATTTCTTAGTCCAGGTCTGGCTGTTATTAACAGCAGTGGCCGTCTCCGAAATCACTGCCTATGCCACCAGCTTCCTGCAGCTAGGGTGCAGCAGGGCTCTGGCTTGCCATTGAGCAGCGGGAGCAGATGCCCACTGCCTTAAGATAAAATCTCCACATCTTTCCATGCCCTCCTGCCTTCAAGGTAACCTTGACCTCCCCCATAAACTCCCTTGTTTCTTCTTGGTCACAGTTCCAACCTTTGTCCATGGGCCCCTCTCCATTGCTCTAAGGCAAGTTCCCTTTGTGGTGCAGGGTCTTCCCCGTGTCTGTCTCCACCTACCAATCCTGACTTCATCTCCACACAGAGCTGAGTCTGCATCCTCCAGGGCTTAGCTGAGAGGACCCCCTCATCCCTACACCTCTTTCTGGAGACCCCTGAGTTCGCTTTCTGCTGCTATCACAAAATACCACAGACTAGATAAATTATAAACAACAAATTCATTTGGCTTACTGTCTGGAATTCTAATGTCTACATTTGATAAGCCTGTCAAGTGCCTGAGTACACGATCATAATGTGGTGGGAAGACCAGGGCTCTCTGTCTCACTGTCTATGTCTCCACTACTGTGATAATGAAACGCCATGGCCAACTTGGGAAGGAAAGGGTTTATTTCAGCTTACAATGTGAGTCCATCCAGCTTACAACTACAAGTCCACCATCCAGGGCAGTCGGGGCAGGAATTCACGGCTCACACCTGGAGGTAGGAACTAATACAGCGGCCATGGAGGAGTGGGGTTTCCTAGTTTGCTCCTTGTGGCTTACTCAGCCTTCTTTCTTACAGCACCCAGAAAGAACCACTTGCTCAAGGGTGGCCCCTCCCACATCAATGATCAATCAAGAAAATGCACCACAGACTTGCCCATAGGCCCACCTGGTTGGGGCATTTTCTCAGCTGAGACTCTCCCTCTTCTAAAATGACCCCAGCTTGTGTCACATTGACAGAAAACAAGCCAGCACAGGCATATATAGGGTGGGGGTATGGGACAGTGTTAGGTCAAGGAACAACTTTGGGCATGGGAGCCCCTTCTCTCCTCCCACCTTTCCATGGGTTACAGGTACACTTAGGTCAACAACGTTTTTACCTGCTGGGCCATCTTGCCTGCTCACATCTTACCTCTTAATACTGTTTCATCCATAACAAATTTAATCAGAGATTGGGAGAAGACATTCAAGCCACAGGACTCTCTTTCCCACCTTCACCTTTCACTTGTAATCTGTCTCCCTTGGAGAGGCAGCCACTCCAGGCCCCAGGTACCTCCACAAAGCATCAGCTTGCTTTGCGGGGAGAGGGCAAGACAGATGTCATGTTGCTTGTGCCTTCATGGTCCTTTGTGTGCCTTGCTTATGGTGAGGGGTTAATAGATGTTCACTGAGTTAGTGACTAACAGGATCCTAGAGTTTAGTTACCTTCCCTAGACCTGCTGACAAAATCTCTAGTGAGAGATTCCCGTGCTGAGAGACCTGACCAAGGCGCAGACATTTTGCCAGGTGCTCCTTTCGGAGTGCAGTATGTGGAAGGCTCTGAGGCTGATATGCAGAAAGGGCCCCCCCACCGCCCCCGCCCCACTGCCACCCCCAGGACACTGCTAGAATGCAGGTTCTGAGTCAGTAGCTCTGCAAACCTGAGATTGCATTTCGTAGCAGCTGCCAGCTGCACTGTGCTCCTCCTGTCTCTCAGAAACAAGTAGGCAGCCGCAGGAGAAAGTCTTGGCTTTTCTGAGCTTAGAGGATAAGGTAAAGATAGGAACCTGGACAGCTAGTGAAGCCTGGGTGGGCTATGGCGGTCCTCCTACAGCTGGTGGACCAGCCACTCCAGGCTGGAATCTGCTTTGGTTTGGAGTTGACCTCAGTCCCAGAGAAGGGACTTTGTTCAATCTCATCCCCCTCCCCAAATGACAGCAAAAACAAAAAACAAATAAAAAACCACCACCACCAACAAAACCCACACACTTGCCCCTAGGTAGGACTGAAGACACTGAAGGGGAATACATAGACAAAGAAGGCTTCTGTCCTCATGGCCTCTCTGCTCTTTTTGTCCACGGAGGCTCGGGTTTGAACTTGGGTCTCTGCACACTCTCGTGTGCTTGCGTCGTTGGCCTGTGGGTTTGCTGCGGTGTGTGTGGTTTGCCGCCTCAGCTGAGTTCTCTGAGCCTCCGTGGACTATAACTAACCACACTCAACGTGAGGAGCTGTTGGGACAATTTCGAGATGATGCCTCGTGGGCTTCAGATCAAACGGCGCACAAACTGGGGAAGGAGGTGTGCGTAGGGGGTGCTGGCCAGGGGAACGTCTGCACATGCTCAGTAAAGACAAGGGTGTTGTCTGACTATTTCTGAGGCGAAGTTGGTCGAGTCTGTCGTTGGGTAGATCTGCAGCAGTGGAGCCAGGACCGTGGGACGTCCTGTCTAAAGCCCTGGTGATCGTTAGCTACGGCTGTCAGTCTGCAAAGGAGAAGGCCGCCAGGGAATTCTCTCTTTTTCTGTCTCTCCTTCATCTATCAAGGATTTGCACTGCTCCCAGGCTCTGACCATACATACCATGGGAACAGACCCAAAGTCCCCACCTTCTTGGGATTCATATTCTGAAAGGAGAAACTAGTTTAGCAAGGGTGCCCATGCATACACTAGAAACCAACAAGCACGCTGAGCTGCTAGATGATGTCGTAGAAACGAGTGTTGGGGACAGGAATCAGGGCCACTTCCCTTCCCTTGGGAGGGCACGTCAGCAAGAGCAACTACGGAACTGCAGATCTCCACTCCACGTTCACTTCCTGTCAAAGCTACATCTCGTTCTCCTTCAGCCTCCAGGATGTCACAGCCATCACGGAGTGGTCTGCTCTCGCCGCAATATTGTGTCTTGGCCTTTGCACTGGATTGCTTAGTTTACAGTATTTGTTTGGGTCCCTCCCTGTGTTGTTGGGAAATCTTCAGTCCTGGATTTCTTATCAGCCCAGGCAATACCAGAAACCCAGCCCCAGGGACCAGTGAGATGAGGCGGTGGGACATCCTGGGAGTGGGGGGTCTTTTACCCTCGGTGGACTAAAAGTCCTGGATGAGCCCCCAGATTGCTGAGAAAGGATTGGGGCTTCAGATCAGGAAACCACTACTCAAATTGAACCCGGACTAGACAATTTTACTCCTACTCGTGAAGGTGCTCAGCCATCCCAAAACAGAAGAGCAAGCCACCCAGTGGAAATGGCTCCTGACATTTACTCCTAAAGCAAGAGGGAGCTGGCTGCTCCTGACTGACTGAGGTTTAACCTTAGAATCTATACCCTGGCCTGGAAGAGGAAGGGGAGGCCTGGTTATCTGGACAAGCAGGTGGCTGAGGGAGGAAAGAACGCCTGCCCAGTGGAGAGGAAGCACGCTCAGCTGCCTGCCAGACCCACTGATGGGGAAAGCTGGAGCACTCTGATCAGGTGAATGGGTGGAGGGTTACCTCCAGAAGCAGAGACCACTGGAAGGGAGATGCCTCATTGAAAACTGTACCCCAATATGGGCCAGCACTCCGAAAAGCTGCAACCCTGGAGCCCTCTGGATGGCTTACAAGCAGCTGGACAGGTCCGGGTGTCTCCCCTCTGCAGGTCTTCTGGTTAGAGAGTCTCCTGCGGGCTGCCTCCTCCTCCTCCCAGGCCGTTGCTGCTTCTGTGAACTGGGGAGGGGCTCTGGGGGTCCTGCTTGTTTCAGCTCTCCAGGCTTGTGAGTTTGCCCCTTCCTCCTCTGGCCAGCAGAGAGGGTTTCAACCGGGAGGAAATGCAGATACAGCAGCTACTCTATCTGGAGTGCGGACTATCTATGATGCTGCGGTTTGGTGCTTGCCTCCCTGATGGCTGTTTGCCTGTCTTCCTTTGAGAGTTGTCCATTCCGATCTCTTGCCCGTGCTTGAAGTTGTTTTCTAGCTTGGGGGCTGTTTTGACTCCTAATAATTTTATCTGTTTTATATTATCACAAATACTCTCCCATCCTGCAGCTGGTCTCGCTTTGCTCCGTGTTACTTTGCAGAGGATTCCAGCTTGATTTTTTTTTCCCTATTTGTCTGTTTTGTTGTTATTTGGTTTTGTTTTGGGAGGTTTTAGAGTCTCCCTATTTAGTCCTGGCTCTCAGTACATAGGCCAGGCTGACCTCAAAATCATAAAGATCCTCCTGTATTTGCTACCCAGCACTGAGATTAAAGGGGTACACCACCATTCCTGGCCTCTTCGTCTGGTTTTGCTTTCGAGGTCTTATTCCAAACAGCCTTACCTAACTCAAGCTATGCATGAAGTGCCCATTTTTTTCCCCAGTAGTTTTGTAGTTTGGGGCCTTACACTTAAGTTCTCTAAAAGTCCTCAAAATACTGTATTTTTGGATATATGTATGGAGGACCACTAAAAAAGAGAGTACAAGGGTGGGGCACGAGCTGACTTATCATCACTCTGGCAGCCATGAGACACTAGGCTTCTGGGGTGGGGTAGATAAACTGTGTGGAAGGGAATGGCAGTAATCTGGGTGAGTGATGCTGGTGGACCTGAGTGAGTGACGGTGACTCGAGCCAGGATCCTTGCAGCTGCCTGCAAGGCTGCTGAAGAAAGTGTGGGCATCCGGGAAGACACATTTGAGCCAGTTGGTTGTTGGCAAAATCCTGCATACTCTGTTTTGAAAGGAAACACAGCTTATAATGCATTTCTAATCCCTTTTCCTTGGAACCCATCAGCAAAGGGAAACTATTCCAAAAGCAACCAGAGCCTGCTGTAGGCATGTCTGAGCTTCCAGGACCCTCCAAAGAGTGTAACTTGCCCTGGGTGATGTCCATTCTAACAGCTATTTGGCTTCGCTGCTGCGTCAGCTGTGGGAGGGGTTTGGACAGACAGCCTGTCGGGCATGAATGGCCCTGTACTGCTACTCGCTTGAGTTCTGAAGTCGCCTCAAAATTCTTTGTTTCTTTGCTTGTTGGCCCCGGCACGAGGTTCTGCTTTAACAGCAGCACGTGGTGCTTAGATGTTCTGAAAAGACTCTAGTTCTAAGTAGGCATCCTAATTCAGAGGAGGGCTGTGGGAGGAAAGCAAGAGCAGAGTGATGGTGTAGGCTGTCTGTCTAGGAGACTGAACTTAAAACCCGGGGACTAAAGTGTTTGCTCATCTAGTTTCCCAGCTCCTGGGTCTAAGGGAGCTGTCTCTCACTCCCCAGAAGGGAGTTAAGTTTCCTTCCTGGTCCACAGCCCTCTCATTCACAGCAGTTAAAAATGGAGCCAGGTTGACCTTAACCTAAGATTGAGTGACAACCTGTGAGTAGACTTGGGCCATCTGACACCTTTAAACCAGGGTGCCACACCCTCTGCGTGTCACACATAAAGAACCCAGGCTTTAAGAGGAAATAATTTCTCAAGAAAAGGACAATTACTTCCCATTGAGGGTTGACAGCATCATTTGTTTAAACAAATCTGTCACGATTTCTTTAAGCCAGCAGGTAAACAAAACCTTCACTCTTACCCTCCTACAGAACTGGACCTCTTGCCAAGGGAAGTCTTGGGGCTCGCTTTGGAAGGTTGGGATGGTGGGTAGCAGAGATCATCGCAGCCTCCCACCACGACCACTGTACACCCCTAATCAGACTCTCGCCATCCTCAGAACAGGATGGTGGCATCAGGGAATGCATAGCAGATTCAGTGGAGGGCAGAAGGGAGAGATGAGGTAAGAAGGTCCTTTTCTGACAGTCATGATGATGTCGCCTTGGGAGCAGTGTATGTCCCTATACCCACTGCGGGCTAATGGAATGCATGACAAGGAATGGGTATCTTTAAATTTTTTGTTTTAGCCAAAACCCCAGGACAACTAAAACAATCCTACCTAATGAAAGAACTTCCAAGAGTATCACCATCCCTGACTTCAAGCTGTATTACAGAGTTATAGTAATAAAAACTGCATGGTATTGGCATAAAAACAGACAGGTGGATCCATGGAATCAAATCAAAGACCCAGACATAAATCCCCACATTTACGGACACCTGATTTCTTATAAAGAAGACAGAAATAACACACGATGGAAAAAAAAAGCATCTTCGACAAATGGTGCCGATCTGACTGGATGTCTGCATGGAGAAGAACGCAAATAGATCCGTATCTATCACCCTGTACAAAACTCAAGTCCAAGCGGATCAAAGGCCTCAACATAAATCCAGATACACTGACCTTGATAGAAGAGAAGGTGGGAAATAGCCTTGGATACATTGGCATAGGAGAGAACTTTCTGAGCAGAACACCAATAGCACAGGCAGCAACCATTAATAAACGGGGCCTCATGAAACTGAAAAGCTCCCGTAAGGCAAAGGGCACCATCACTAGAACAAAACAGCAGCCTACGGAGCGGGAAAAGATCTTCATCAATCCTGACAGAGTGCTAATTTCCAAAAACTAGAAATCAATAAACCAAATGATCGAGCTTAAAAAATGATGTGCAGAGCTAAACAGAGAGTTCTTGACGGAGGATTCTCAAATGACTGAGAAACACTTAAATGCTCAATATCCTTAGCCACCAGGGAAGTGCAAATCAAAACCACTTTGAGATTCCATCTTACACCTGTCAGAATGTCTAACATCAAAAGCACAAGTGACAACTCATGCTGGCAAGGATGTGGGGCAAGGGGAACACTCCTCCACTGCTGGGGGAGTGCACACTTTACAATCACTATGAAAAACAACATGGCAGTTCCTCAGAAAACTGGGAATCAATCTATCTCAAGACTCAGCTCTACCACTCTTGGGCATATACCCAAAGGATGCTCCATTCTACCAACAAGCACACTTGCTTAACTATGTTCATAGCAGCTTTATTTGTAATAGCCAGGAAATGGAAACAACCTAGATGTCCCTCAACCAAAAAATGGAGAAAGAAAATGTGATACATTTACACAATTGAGTGTCACTCAGCTGTTAAAAATAATGACATCATAAATTCATAGACAAATGGATGGAACTAGAAAATAATCAACCTGAGTGAGGTAATCCAGACCCAGCAAAACAAACCACAGTATGTACTCACTTGTAAACGGACATTAGTTGTTCAATAAAGGATAATTGTTTTATCCTTTATTGTAGCATGGTTATGCTACAAGCCGCAGACTCAGAGAGTCTAGGTAACGAGGGCTGGGGTGGGATGGGGGATGAATGGCTCTCCCTGGGCAGGGGAAATAATAGATTTTGCCTGTGGACTGGGGGAGGGTGGGGATGGGAGCAGGAGTGATCAGGTTGGGGGAGGGTGGAGGGAGAGAATGCATGGAGGGATGACTGGAATTGGGGAGCACCTGGGGAGCAATGGAATCTGTGGAAGTGACTCTGGCAAAGACTCTTAGTAATGGGGAATCCAGAGCCTGAATCAGCCATCTTCTGTAGCCAGGTAAGGCTTCCAGCGCTGGGACTGGGACAAGAACCCAGCCACAAAACCTTCAACCTCCCATTTGTCCCACCTGCAAGATGTGCTGCGGTAATGGTGGCACACGACTGGTCCAACTTCAGGCCCACCTGCACCAGCGCCTAGGACTTCACCATTGGTACCAACTCTCCTGGACCAAGGACATCTACCAACTAAAATCTGGTTTTATCTGCTACTGTGTCCCCATTATACACCCGAGCCTCACCTGTACAACCAGGGCACTTCTCCGTCCCCTTCTTTCGGGCGGTTAATGACTCTTCCCATGGTTAGTCCCATTTATAGGGTCAATAATATTTTTTTTTTCCTCCTAGCCACCTGCCTTCTCATCTCCCTCAAGAAACAGCTGCCCGAGGTCTCCAGGCTGGCAGTAAACAGGATGCCGCTCCAGCCACACCTCTCGCTGAACGTGAGCCCACCAACTCCCAGCTCTCCTCTCTCCCAGGTCGTCCCGTGTCAGCCGGAAGCAGCCAGATTTGAACTGGTGCTCCTTTATCCAAGGAGTCTAAAATGTTTGATTGAGGGGCTTCACCTCAGCTCACTGGCACCCCCTTATCCAAAATGCCTGGAATGGTAAAAAAGTGTCACCCCAACTCCCTAACACACCTTTATACAAAAAGTCTGGATTGTTTGCCTGGGGGCGTCATCTGGCCCCATGAAGGGTCATAAAGCCCACCAATGGCAACCTCTCCCCAGGGAAGGTCAAGACCACTCCCACAGGCTATTTAAACTGCACCCCCCATGAACACGTGGTCTCCAGGTTTCACTGGTCTCCCTTTTCCTCTCTTCCCCTCTCCATGCTTTCCCGGGGCCACCTGGGAGCATTGCTTTAAACATGGGCGTCTTTTATTTGGTCTAATTCGGTCTGATTGGAATTATTTGCATCGGCGGAGAGGCTAAAATGAAATAGCTAACATTTTCTCCAAGCACTTTCAGAAAGCTCAGTGGGGCTTTGTTGGTTTGCTTTTTTTTTTTTCTTTTAAATTCAGACCACTTTTTTTTTTTTTTTTTTGTAATAATAAAAGTTGAGTTCTTGCTTCAGAGACAGGGGGGTTAAAGAGAGGCGATTTTATCTGGAGACCGTGACTGCCACCTGGTGGATATTAGTTGCGCAACTGCACAAAGGCTCTGCTTTCACCATTTCCTTCAGTCTCTCAGGGAGTCCTTAGAAAAGCAGTTCAGTTAAAGAGAAGACAGAGGCAACTACAACACAGTGTACAGGAGCAATTACAGAGACAGTCTGAAAATAGGGTGAAAGAACGCAGGCGCTGGAGCCTCGCTACCTGCATCTAGAACTTCCTCTCTGTGGCCCTGGCTGAGCTATTTAACCACTCCTCCGCTGCCTCTCCCTTATCTATAAACTGGGACCAGTATCATTCTCCCTCATCCAAGGTTTTGGCTACCCATGGTCAGCTTCAGAGAACATGAAATGCAAAATCCCGGAGTAAAGTCACATTTACAACATGAGTCACTTCCGGTAGCATGACTCTGGACACGAGTCCCTTTGTCCGGCTCACACAGGTGTATGCACGTGCCACCTGCCTGTTTGTCATCCCAGGACTTCAGCACAGCAGGGATCATTTCAGACAATCCTGTTTTACTCAACAGTGGTTCAGTAACGTGCAAGGGTGGTGACTCTGGTTACTCGGATGTGCCAGCGTGAAGCCATACAGCGCTTTGAATAAAAGGGAGTTGATCACATGTGTACGGAAAGGAGGGAACAGGCTCTGTGTGAGGTTTGCTACTATCCAAGTTTTCAGATAGCCAATGGGCATCTTACAAGGCACAGCCTGTGGATAGAGGAGCCGCAGTGCCTGTTACAGGACAGTTGTGAGAATTAGATGCTCCATGGAAGCTCCTCGCACTGATCTGCATCTCAAAACCTGCTCAGCAAATGCCCCTTGGTGGTGGCCCAAGGCCCTACCTGCTGTTGCCTGCCAGGGAGGAGGCCGCCCCATGAAGGAGGTCCAGAGACTCCATAAGTGACCCTGCATCACCTTCTCCTCTCCTTCGGCTCCCCAGCTCAGCTCCCCAACCCTCTACAAAATCCTTCCTGCCACACATTCAGAACTCCAAGACTCTTCCACTGGTTCCTTCTGGCTCTGAACTCTGAAGCGCTGCTCACTGACTACTGGGGATACTCCAGGGCCTGAATATTCCTACAAGTGGCCTCATGCTTCCTCTCCAAAGTCCTGCTCTCGACCTAACAGAGACCGTCCAGCTGCCCCAAGAGGCCTGGGGACCCAGGATAGTGATCTCACAATCCCACACCTCAGCCTCTGTCTTGGAATCCCCAGAGCTGCACTCAGCCATCCAGGACCACACGCCTCTCTCCCTGCCCCTTCCTGTCTGGGACTATCTAGCCACACCCACCAGCCTTACACACAGGACCTCCAGTCAATGCACAAGACTGGGTACATTCTGCCTGTGTTTTTGGCCAAAACATAATGTTTAAATAAATAGTAAAGAACCAGCAACATAACTCCAGATGATGCAATATAGAAAAACAAGACAGCATGGCTCCCTCCCTAAGAATCGCCAGTCCTACAGTGTAGTCTCAAAGGAGAGCAACTAAGACAAAACGCAGACCCCAGAGTTCAAAAGGACAGTTGTACACATGTCCAACAGATCAAAGGAAACACAGGTAAGTCCCGGAATGAATGTAAAGGGGACACTAATGAGCTGACTGGAGCTCCAAACCAAACCAACGCAAAAGACCGTACAACAACTGAACGCAATGAAGATACAGCGTAACCTTGGTGTGATGCTCTCCCAGCTGGGCTATTTCAGTGCTTTGCAGGCAAGGCAGCAGTCAATAGAGAGACAGAAATACTGAAGGGGAAAGAAGAAAAATGAAACTGGAAATGAAAAATTCAAGTAAAAAGTTCAGTGGAAAGTCTTGCCTAAAGAGTGGATCATGTAGAACATAGATTAGCAAGGCCTGAAGGCAAGAAAGGGGAACTGGACTATTCAAAGAAAATAATAAGAATGTAAAAAGCCCATGAATAGAATATTTTGAATCTTTGAAGCACCATGAATAGACCAAATCTATAAACCATAGGCATAGGAAAAGGAGGATTCCAGGGCTGGGACAAAGAAAATATCTCCAATAAAATTACAGAAAAAAATTTCCCAAATCTAAGTAATTGATGTCTATCAAGGTCTAAGAGACACATAGGACACCAAAGAGACAGTACCAGAAAAGTAGTTCCACATGCTATATTCTTGTCAAAATATTAAATATGCAGAACAAAGGAAGGGTGTTGAGTGCTGCAGAAAAGAAAGCCAAAGCCACATTGAAAGGCACACCCATCAGAATAACAGCTGACTTCAAAAAGGAAACTTTAAAAGCCAGAAGAGCTTGAAGTTTGTGATTTAAGTCTTGAAAGAGCACAGATGCCAAGCCAGACTACTTACCCAGCAGAACTATCTGTCACAATTGAAGGAGTAAGAGGAAGATCTCTGCATGATGCAAACAGGCTAAAAACAGTGGTAAAGGCTACAGAGAATGCAGGGAGGAAGACTTCAGAAGGGATGGGAGGACACGCGCATCCAAGAGTCTTCAGTGGAAAATATACACCATGCTAGGATAGGTGCTGAGATCAAGAAAACAAGTACCGTAAAAATCAAAATAACACAGGTGGTGGGAGTCTCCAGCTCACCCCTATATGATCTGGAAAGCCCCATTCCTCTCTCTCTCTCTCTCTCTCTCCAACCCTACCCTCAGAGAATCTCCAATAAAGAAAAGGCTCCAAAAAGCCCAGTTCAGCATTGCAACTTCCTCCCCTGTTGCCACCAGCAGCCCAAGGCCCTGCCTAAGTATTCCAGCTTTTGATCAGACTTGGTCAAACTCAGCATGTGGCAGACATGATCTCTCTTTCCCTCCCTCCCTCCCTTCCTCCCCTCCTTCCTTTACCCTCCCTCCCTCTGTCTCTGTCTCTGTCTCTGTCTCTGTCTCTGTCTCTCTCTCTCTCTCTCTCTCTCTCTCTCTCACACACACACACACACACACACACCAGTCTAGAGGCTATATAATCTCCCTGCTTTAGTTCGGGCATGTGGCTCCTCCAGCCTCAATCTCTGACACTAAAGAACACACCCAGGAGTTGCTTTTCTCAAATAAGCCTGTTGTTATATTTTTTCAAATTGGCTTGATCTGGCTTAATGCATCAGAGTAGAAAGTATTATTGGGCTACAGAAAACACAGTTACCGTTCCAAAATTCAGGGAAGAGAGCATAGCAAGGAAATACTGTACCAAAGCAAGACCAAAAGTCATCTGGGCAAACTCTGTGGGGTCCAGTCATGGCAGGCTCGGTAGAGACCTCAGTTTCAGATTACCCTACGTGGTTCCATGGAAGATCATAGACTGAGACCACCTGGAAAAGAACATACAAGGGAAAAGTACCCAGTGTTCCAAAGGAAATTCCTAGCGTTCCAACCATTTTGAATGGGATCACCTGATGTCCCTTGGCACAGCACAGACCCATCCCTTTCACCAAGACACCTCTGGATAAGTGCCAGCCAATCAAGCCAATCTAGGCCAAACCATAGAGATCCCTCACTGCAATCTCTGCTATGATAAAAAAAAAAAAAAAAAAAAAACCTCACCCCAAATGAGCTTGAGACTCTCTGGTCATGCCAATGAATTAGACACAGAGGGAGTCCAGGTTCGAAATTGAATAAAGGCAATCTTTGCTTTTACATACTGTACTTGGTCTCCTTGTTGGTTTTTGGGGGACTCTACGATCTTGGCATAACATTGGGGACTCGTCCATGATCCACTGGGACCACTGCCCTGTTGAGCCTTTCGTTGGCCAGTAAGTTTTCTGTGTTTATGTTTCATTTACGGTCTTTCTGTTTTGGCTATCCTTCTGGAGGTGGTCCCAGAGTCTGTATGAGCCTGTTGATGGTCTGCGCAGACACGCACAAGATCACAGGCAGGGCACCTGAGAAGACATTCTGGGGCCCATCTCTACGGGAATGAATTCCTCTGGTTAATTTGGGTTCCAGGACTCTTCTGTATGAAATTAAATTCCTCTGGTTTCTGTAGAAAGATGAGCGGGTCACAGAACAGAACAGCCTGAGGCTGTAGTCTTTACTTCAGTTTTGCCTCCAGGTGCCTGGAGGACTCTGTGCTGCCCTGTGTACTGTTTTGGTTTGTTCTTTGATTTGTCTTCTTTCTGGCTTATGAAACTGATATAACTCAAAGCATGACTCTTTTGATTTTGATACTGGACCACTTATAGGACTTTAGAGATAGAGCCCTAAGCGTAGGGGTTGAGACTGAAAACAGGGATCTATTTCCCTGAAAGGGATGAGACAAGCAACCTCTACCCACACTGGACATTCCATTGAAAAGAGGCAGCCTTGGCCCGTACTGTGGGGCAAAACAGGTGAGCAGGGCCAGGCTTACCCAGACATGCCATACAAACATGGGCTGCAAGACAGCACACTTATGTGGATGGGTCTCCCATAACCTGCCCTGGGGACTGCCCACCTCAACTTCTGGCCAAGGTTTGGTTCCGCAGGTGGGTTGCAGGGAGTCATTGCCCACGGTTGTGAAGCTATGGTGGCCATGTTAGCATGTTACAGTTCAGACACCTCACTTTACTAGGGCTGCTTTGGTCATTTAGATCCCATGGGTTGTAAATATCTGTCATCAGTTAAAGGGATTGTTATAAATTATTAATGGTTAGGGTAAAAAAAACAACAACTACTACTACTACTAGTCTCAGGGGCTTCATGCTGATACAGGTTTTTATGAGTTGATGAAAATTTAAAGTTATTTGACCATATTAGGTTAATTCTGGTTGAAAAGTACTATTTGTCTTGTTGGAAAGTTTTGTCTATTTCTCAAGGAAGCTGTGTATGATTATTTTATTGGATAGTTTTGTCTGTGCT